TGTGTGAGAGAGAGAGGGGGGCGTGTGTGTGTGTGTGTGTGTGTGTGTGTGTGTGTGTTGATCAGGACTGTCTCAGTCAAAAACCTGAGATGTGGCCCCAACACTTCTGTTCCCCCAGAGGAACTGCGGCCCCCAAGAGGAGCAGCACAACGCAGGCATTTTCCTGGGCTTGGTCGGGACTTCTGGGTCCCCTAATTCTGGTGTCCCCTGCCCCTCCCGTCAACGCTGTGGCCCCATGGTGCCCAGCGCAGGACACCAGCCACTGGCTGCCTGTGGGCACGCAGTCCCGCCCAGGGTCTGCCTGGCACGCCTGCCCTGTTCAGGAGAGCAGAGGACCACACAGGGCCAGACCTGCGCCTGCCCGGCGCTGTCCCCGAGGAGCTGACTCCCTGCGCGTGGCGTCTGCGGCAGACGGAGTTGAGAGCGAGCACCGCGCATCGAGCCTTTATTGCCCATCTGCCCACCACGCCGCCAGATGCCCACATCCGCAGGCCTACTGACACGACGGTCCGTCCGCGCCGGGCGCCGTCAGTCTGTCCGTCTGGGCGGGGAGACAGCAAGCCCGCAGGAGGGGCCGTCCCCGCCGCTGGCCCGCGCCCCACTTGCTCCGGACAGACCGGTAGCCGGTAGGCTCGTCCCTTATATACAGATAACCACTTATAAATACAAAATCGTACGTAAAGGCTGCCTGCTCTACAAAAGGGGGAGGGGGGCGGCCACCACCAAGGTCCGTGGGCCCCGCGGGCTGTGCAGCGTCTCTGAATTCACTGAATTCATGGAGGGTGGGAGTTGCCCGCCCGGCAGCCGCCCTGGGGCCTGAGGCGGCGGCAGGATGATGGTAGGTGGCTCCCTGGGGAGGCGGGTCACTACCTGGCCGCGAGGGCGGTAGCGGTGGCCGCAGGGCGGTCGGCGCCCAGGTCATCCTCCACCACGCTGCGGAGTCCGCCCTTGTCCACGCAGGCCCCCACGGCCTGCAGCACCAGGCGCAGCCGCCGGTCCAGCGCCTCCAGGTGCAGCGGGAAGAGCACAGGCGCCACTCGGTCCCTGCGCAGGGACTCGGCCATCAGGAGGCTCAGCTTGTACTCCTCCTTGGCTAGGAGCTGCAGCCGCAGATAGGTGGACCTCCTGATCCTGGGGGGTGGGGGGTGGGGGTGTAGTCAGGCCTCCGCGGGGGCGTGGGGAGGGGCACATGGGCAGGTAGGTAGACCTCCTGATACTGGGGGTGGGGGTTAGTCAGGTCTCCACAGGGGGTGGGGAGGGGCACCTTGGCAGCTGGATGCTGACCGTGGGCAGTAGCAGGCGCCAGCAGCCCTGGCTTCTGAGGGCCTGCTCCTGTGAGTGGAGGAAACTGAGGCCTTACTAGCTAGGGGAGGGAGGGTGCTCAGAGGAGGGTCCCTGTGTGCTGCCCCAGTGTCAGGTGTGCCTCAGTGACCATCCTGACATGCTCTAAGGCAGCAGTCCCTCTGGGAAATGGACACTCAGAGAGGGCCCTGGGATGAGATGGGCTGCCCTGCAGGGTCACTGCATGTGGGCTCTGGGCTGCATGACAACCCCCC